ACACACACACACACACACACACACACACACACACACACACACACACAAAGGATGTGGTTCTAACAGAAAGCCATGGAGCTGGCAGGCAACAGTGTGCATTGATGGTGGATTACAGCAACAATGTGGAGTGAACAGAAAAGGGCAAGTGACGGAGTGGAGCCTTGCAAGCAGCAACATAAATGCAGATTAAAATAAAGAGCCGATAACTCGTAAATGAACTAGAACTGCGCGTTGTGTAACGCATTATATAACATAATATAAAGTCACTTTAATGTCAGGTTGTCCTCGTGAAGGGGACAGATCGGTCACGCGATTAAAACATGTTTACTTGGGGATAAAATTAATAAAACGTAATTATTGTTGGATTAAAATGAGGTATGGAAAACCGTTAAACAAACCGGATATTGCTGTAAAGATATTTGCTTTGGTTTGGAGATAACTTCCCAAATGTAAGTGTGTTATGAACAAAAGAAAGCAAATGTAAAAAAAGAAAAGAGGCAGACTTTGTGCAACAAACTCGCGAGCAGATGTGACGATATCGCGTCGTTGTTGTTCGGACTTCGTTGATTGGACGATTGAATAGATAAATAAAGACAGAATAAGGGATCGAGGAGCAGTTTGATGGAAGAGAAACCAGCGACACGTTGTTGTTGTTTTCATTGTTGTACTCACTTGGATGACCATCCCCTCCACTTCACCAGGAACTCCAACTTTCCCTGGAAGAGAAGAACAACAGCCCGAAGAGCGGAAGAACGTGCGTAAACAGGCCGTTAGAAAAGAAGGTAAACAACAACAACGCGGAAACGAGTTGTAATGTTTCAGAGCTCTGACCTTCTTCAGCCGTTTGTTTAAAATGCATTCCGCATCAAAGACCTGCTCTCCCACGGCGCTCAGCTCCTCCATGTCTGCCTTCTGCCCGAGAAACAGTCCTTTATCAGAGGACGAGGCGACGCGCGTCCAGCTCACCGGAATTACGCGCGGTGGGGACCGGATGTCCGCGGTCCTCTGCCTTCAAAATAAAGCTCGTCTCGGCTTAAACGCTCACAATAAACAACAAAAAAGTACAACCTTGGAATCATTTATTTAAGTATCTGCTAACCAGCTGAAACATTTTTGTTAAAAAAACAAACTGCTGCCATCAGATCTACAGATCTGTTTTCTTAAAATCTATCCAAAGTTACCTGCCAGAAGTAGTTTGTAGTTTCAAGCTCTACGCAATTTGTAGTCATTGTGTGTCTTATTTGGTCTCTTTGAGGTCTATATGAAATCCTCTTGTATCTCTCTGCAGTAGTTTTGTGTCGTCTTTGGTTGTTTTGTGTGTCTTTGAGGTCATTGTGTGTGTTTTTCTGGGCATTTCTTTGTGTCACTTTGTTGTCATTTTATGTCTCTGAGGTCATTAAGCGTCTCTTTGAAGTCGTTTTGACAAACGAAATTCGAATGTGGTTTATCGAACATACATTTACATCCTGTACTGAACTTATAATAGAATAATTATTTAATGAAATATGCTTTAGGAATATCTCTCGTACCCCCTGCAGTACTATAATACCCATCTGAGAAACGCTGCTGTAGAAGTTCTACTTCTCTTAACTCCCTATTTTATTTTAGTTTTCTATGAATATTGTTTTGTGTACATTTTGCATTATTGCCTTTTCTTCTTTAACTATCTCTACCTGTATTGGGGCAGATCCTAACCCATCAGTCTCAACTGGGAAGCACAACTCGTTGTTTATAAATATCATTCAAAATAAACTGACTTAGAAAGTTGGTTATGTGGAAATGATGCAATTATGCATTAGTTGTGTTGTAAACAAAAGTTTGTTACGGACAATTCTCCTTTATACAAAAATGCACACATTGTGGTATATTGAGGGAATACTGTTATTTTGAAAGTCGAAACCGGAAGTTTGTTGCTCCCGCGCTTAACTTGATGACATTACTCGAAGAGAGGCGGGTAACTGAGAATGTGGTTGCTTACACGTGTCCCTTGGCGGCCACCGTCCTCTGATCGAAACGCTTTATTCACAAATTGTAAGTGACAGTAGAGACATGGACAAATTAACGCTACTTTATTCTCAAAGCAAACCGGAAACACACTTAGTTTTAGAATAAGTTTATTTATCTTCATTTTATTTATTATTTTTTTTTCTTGTTTTCGCTTGTTAGAAATAATAAAAACGTCTTGTACATCAGCAGTTATGATACATATGTGCGTTATGCTCATGGCTTCTAAAGCTCTTATTCAAGAGAGCTAATGGTCTTAAGACGCTCCATAGTAAACATTTAATTACATGTTGTGAAACACAGTAATATACAAGAGTCCTTCAAACAAATACTAAACAAAATACACAAAAATGTGCTCTTCTATTAATTTGATTATTTCCCACCGATTCTGTTCATTTATATTCTTCTTTTTTGCACAACTCTGCTCCTGTGTTCCTTGTGTAGTTCTCAGAGTGCATTTCCTCACATGGGATGAACAATAACCCCCCAGGAGGACTGCACACGGGCAGCTGTTCCTCAGCGTCACCGTGGAGCAGCTTCTGTCCTCCTGAGGATCAGAATGAAGTTTGTTTTGTCTTTTCTTTCTCTGGAAGATGTTCTGAACTCTGTGATCTGAAACACCAACAAAAGAATTGATAACAGCGCTCAGCAAAACAACAGTCAGTTACGTTTTTGTCTCGCACGTGTGAAGAGTTGAACAGTTAAAATGTGATTTTTTTAAAATACAATTTCCATGTAGTGATATCAGAACTTAAAAACATTCTCAGAAGTATTCTCGATATTCTGTTTTTAGCCGAGACAACCGGTTACTACACATGAAAACAGTCTTTAATTGTTCACTCGTTACCTTTTATTCTTGCGTTTGTTCTGCAGTATTTTGTGGGACATCATCACGATAAAAACTACAACAAGAAATCCAGCCACTGCAGACAATCCAGTCAAGACATTTTGCAGGAAATTCACATTTCCTCCTGAAACAGAAAACACATTCACAGTCTAAATGTGTGTTTCTGGACTTAGACTAATGTTACATGCTACAGGAACTTAGTGCTGAAATTGAATATCTACTGTATTAAAATACAGCAAAACCCATCGATCAAAGTACTGCCTCTACTCAATTGCATCAACCAAACACATGATGGCGCTATAACAACTTTAATGTTCAGTCCAATAACTTCCTAACTGTGTGGCTCAGACATAACATTCTTCTTTTTCCAGTCAGTGTTGACAGAAATGTCCTGGGGTCAGAAACACTGACTATAGCACCACATGTGGATTCATCCGCTGCTGAAAATAGTCCCATACAAATGCACTATTTCTTTCTGTTTGAGTAACCTGAGTTTGACAAACTAACACATTGTTGCTTTTGATCTTTTCATGGCATTTGTTGGTAAGAATAATCAAAAATATTGACAGCATTGTCCTTTAACTATGTAACACCTGACACTAGGCATCAGATCTTTAGATCTCTTTTCTTAAAATCTTTCCAAAGTTACCATCAACAATACCAGATCTACTTTGTAGTTTTAACCTGCAGTAGCTCGACGCCATTTGTAGCCATTTTGTGTCTTTTTTGGTCTTTTGAGTCTCTTTGAGGTCTTTTTTAAATAGTTCTTTGTGTCTTTGAGGTCTACTCGTGTCTCTTTGAAGTCATTTTATATCTCTTTGTTCTGTGTATATTTGTCATTATGTGTCTTTTTTGGTCGTTTGTGCCTTTGAGGTAATTTTGCGTTTTTTGTAGGTGTCTTGTGTCTCTTTACAATTGTCTCTTTGAGGTCATTGTGTGTCTCTTTGTAATAATTTCTTTGTCTTTTTGAGGTTATTTTGTGTTCTTTGAGGTAATTTAGTCTGGTTTTGGGGCATTTTTTGTCACTTTGTAGTCTTTCTATGCGTCTTCGAGGTCATGATACGTCTCTTTGTAATTGTTTTGAGTCACTTTGAGGTACTTTTGAGTCCCTTTCGTTGTTGTTTTATTTATCTTTGTGGTAGTTTTGTTTATCTCTGTTGTCTTTTTGTGTCTCTTTGTATTTGTTTTTTGTTTAATTGTGAACATTTGGCTTCTCTTTGTGGTCGGTACGAGTCTCTTTGAGTTTACATTCTTTAGCAGAGGGCCAGTGGGGCCCCTGACACTTTCAGGCCCCTGGGCCTGTGCTTTGTAGGGCCGTTCAGTAATCCATCCATGATGAAGTCAGACATGATGGATGAATGGCCTCGTAATGAAGGAGCAGGTGTTGGAGGCCACGGGGAGAGACTCATTAGTCGGTTATAAACTCACCCTGAGTGGTCGCGCTGGTAACCAGCATGTGTTTGGTGGCATTCAGGTGGCCGTCGTTGACCTCCGGCTGGATGCCCAGGATGTGACACATCAAGGGGTAGATGTTCACCGTCTCGAAGGGCCCCACCTCCAGGTTCTTGTGAAATGCTGGACCCACTGCCCTGAAGAAGGGCTTCATGTCCATCTCCTGGTTGTCAAAGCCGTGCTCACCCTTGTTGAACTGAACGGGGAAATACTGCAAGGATGGATAACAGAGCACGCGTGACCCAGTTTGTTAGATTCAATTACATCGTAACGTTTATAAGGCATTGATTTAAGGAGCCGGATCTTAACAGCTGCAGAGGGTGACACATCTCGGCCTGCTCCTGTTTAGTCAGCAGAGGGAGGTGTTGTCCAAGAGAAAGAGTCCTCTCCATTCTCTATCATCTGTTACTTCTGTCAACCAACAGCTAAATGAGAATTTTAATCCAGCTCCCAAAATAAACATTTTCATAAAACACCCAGAACACATAAATTCCTTTGATAATTTGTGTCGTAAATGTTCAGTTTATTTCCAGCAGAAATGTGCTAAAAATATGCGTATGCAGAATACCCTCATCCAAGCGGTTATGTAACAGCCTCAACATGCTGATCCTCCTCTGAGATCAGACTAAAAGCAGTTTGAGTGGCCATCAACGGAGAGAACAGAAAGTCGGATAACACAGTCGTGATCACGGCCTCTAAACTTCAGATAACCTGTCTTATCAGCGGATTCACGGCACTGATTGGTTTCCTCACAATCAGCATTTGGAGACCGTTTATGATTTCAGTTATTTATTCTCTAAATTAAGTTATGATTTGGTGGTTTTCCAGAACTGACTGACGCATTCAGATGCAAAGTTACCGACCCAGTGGAGTCAAATGAAAACGCTAATTTTTAATTTTTGAGGCATGAATGGCTTCACGAAGCATTCGAGAGCGCCGCATGTCATCAGCCGGGGCTTGGATTATCCCGAGGACGTGCAAATCCACTTGATTGAAATTGTAATGTGCTGAGATTAAAATTGAACTCATTAATTCTAGTCGAAAAAGAGTCCAGTTTCACCATTTTCCTGTGAGCAAAATGCTACTGGTACTCTAAGTATCTCTGCAGACGAGAGTTGAGAATATTTTCCTCCAATAAACTGGACGGCTTGTAAAGGTTGTTTATCTGCATCCGTGTATCCGTGCTTGTCATTTGATTTCCTTATAATCAGTTAATGGGTCGTAATCATAATCTCAGCAGTTAAAGGTCTAATGTGGAGGAGTGAGCGGTGAGGTTGTCGGTTACAACTCAGTAAAGATTTAATTAAGGCTGACATCTATTGGCAACCAGGCGATACCGTATCTATTAATGTCGCCTACTGTAGGCTATTCATATTTTTCGTAACCCAAACCAAGTAGTTTTGTTGCCTAAATCTAACCAAACTATGACGGAAAATAATAATAACATATACTTTGTTTACTACGCCTGGTGTTCAATCGCCCCAAGTTCTCCCACACAACTTGCCTTCTCCGTTCTCTACACTGGCTCCCTGTAAGAGCTCGCATCCAGGTTAAGACTCTGGTGCTAGCCTAGAGGGCAGTGAAAGGAACAGCTCCTTCCTATCTCCAGGCCATGGTCAAGCCCTACACCCCCGCCCGACCACTTCGCTCTGCTGCCTCGGGGAGATTGAAGCCCCGTCGCTCAGAGGTCCCTGCGGCCGATCGACCCGGTCGCAGCTGTTCTCTGTCCTGGCCCCACAGCGGTGGAATGAACTCCCCACTGACGTCAGGACGGCAGAGTCGCTGCCCATCTTTCGGCGCAGGCTGAAAACTCACCTCTTCAAAAAGGCCTACCCTGAGCCTTCCACTTAGCATTTACTTAGCATCTATTGTATTCATACTAGCTTATTGCACTTATTGTTTACTTATTAGTTTGTGGCACTTATTGCATTCGTTTGTTTCTGCACTGTACTTTGGCTCTGGTTTATGCTCTTAGATGCTTGTTTGAGGAAAGGACATGCACTTATGACTTCTGGTGACTAGTAGTTCTCTCGAAAACCGATGTTGAATACACTTATTGTAAGTCGCTTTGGATAAAAGCGTCTGCTAAATGACTGTAATGTAATGTAATGTAATGCCTACTACTACTACTACTACTACTACACCTACTACTACTACTGCTACTACTACTACTACTACTACATCTACTACTACACCTACTGCTACTACTGCTACTACTACTACTACTGCTACTACTACTACTAGTGCTGCTACACCTACTACTACTACTACCACTACTACTACTAGTGCTGCTACACCTACTACTACTACTACTACTACTACCACTACTACTACTAGTGCTGCTACACCTACTACTACTAGTGCTGCTACACCTACTACTACTGCTAATACTACTACTACACCTACTACTACTACTACTACCACTACTACTACTACTAGTGCTGCTACACCTACTACTACTACTACTACTACTACAAAATCTTTGACTAGCTAACTATTGCTAAAATAAGTAGCATATTCTCAATTAATCATCAGTTTATTTTTTTACTTTCAGTTTAATTTAATTCTGTTGCACCAAAGCTTTTAACTGTAAACTGTTTTAACCCAGTATTCACTTTAAACTACATTTGAGGAGGTTTACCTTTTTTAAAAATGCTGCCTTTTTGAGATGGATGGAGCAAAATGATCAAGATCCTTGAAGAACATTAAGGAGCAAACTCAACCCAGTTGAGTTTTATGATGCTGCTGCTGAATTTATCTCAAGATATCGGTTTAGGAAGAAAACTGTTCTGCAGCCAATTGGACCAACAGGCTGTGAAAAACATTTTCTTTTTTATCTTCTAATATTTGTCCATGTTTCTCCAATATTTCGGCCAACAAGTTTTCCTAAAAGGAGGAGATGTTAGAGCTGTTGTGAGTAACGTAAGGTAAACTGACTTTTTAGCTTCCTAGCTTGCAAACAATGTAGTGTTGTATTAATGTGCACAGACGGGTTTCAGAGCCTACTTACTTGGTCCCGACAGCATGCAATTTTCTTCATTTATTTTAATTTGGGTAAGCAAATATCCCCATATTAATTAAACTTGGTTTAAACTTAGTACGAAACAGAGATTTGTTTTTAATTGTGCAACAGAGCTTGGCTTGATCTCAAATGTGTATTTGGAAACCAAGAATTGCTAAATTCTGATTAGAACTAGCTTACATTAAATTAATCCTTGTTGGTGCAACATAGCCGTAGTGATTAGTTCACATCAAACATCTGTATTTCTGCAGTCTTGCAGGTCTCAAACAGTGTATTCTTGAGCATGGAAGTTATAAAAAGCAAACTTCAGCCTATCCGTCAACGCACCCCGTTGATTACATATCCAGGGTCGGCCCATAGAATGATGGGGAGGATACGATCGTTGTTGGCAAAGTGAAGACGCTCCGGCATATCCTCCTTCTTGAACACATGGAGGTGCGGATGGGCCCCCTTCAAGGCGTCGTAAACCTTCTCCAGCCTGCCCGGCTTCGGCAACAGCATCCCAGAGGGGCCAAAGTCCACCAGGTGAAAGGACAGGTCCTTGAACGAGAAGCCCGGGATCTTGGACAGCGTGATCTCTTCCACCAGACCGTTTCGGTACACCGAGGTCATTCCGTGGTCAGATGTGATGATGACGTTCAGGCGGTCGGTCAGCCCGTGTCCTTCAGCTGAGTGGCGAATGTAGCCCACCGTCCGGTCCACTTGCTTGACCATCTCCCAGAGCTCCGGGGAGTCGGGCCCGTATCTGTGGCCCGTGCCGTCCGGCTCGCCAAAGTACAGCGATATGAAGTCCAGATCCTGGTCACTGAACCAGCCCATCACCTTGTCCACGTTCTCGCGCCACGCGGTCTCATTCTTGTAGTTGTATCGCAGCGGCTCCACTTCCCGCACCATGGCAACCTGTCCCTGGTAACTGGAAGCCGTGCCGGGAAAGTGAAGGGAGCCAGCTTTTAGGCCCTAGGGAGGGGGGGGGTAGAAAGACATGTTAAAAAGCATGCAAAGGGCCGATTGGTTCAACATGCAGGGAAACAAAATCAAATCAAATTTACAGCAGCTGTCATTTGCATGCAGTTACCAGTAAACATCTGGACCGGCGAAAACATAATTTGCATCACAACTGCAGGGATCCAGCTGAAATGATTCAGCGAGCCTTCAATGGTGTTTTGTCAAGAGAAATGGTTTCTAGTGCTGCAAAACTGCAAAACAGTCTCTCGCAGTGATAAGATGTAAATTTGTGCTGCGCGCACAGACCTGTCTCTGCGCCGTGATCCAGATCGGCAGAGTGCCATTGTCCCACCACTCGTTCACAAACTGAGTCGGATAGTAAGCCTTCTTCTCCAGGGTGGTGGTGTTGAACCACATGTTGTGGATTACCCCGTGATTCTCGATGTAGCGGCCTACAGAAGAGGGGAATTCGCTCGTCAGTGTGCTCATGCTCATTATTCGCAGCGTGACACATTCACATTTAAAATTCTATCAACTTAACGGGCTGAGTGGCATGACGCTTTTGGACAAGGTCTTATGACCAACTTCGGAGATTAGAGGAATTTAATTTCAAGGAAGTTAAATTTCTTTTAGCTGGCGCTGATGATTTTGAGAGTCAAAATAAGAAAAGGGAGCAGCGAATTCTTCCCTCAGTCATCCAAGCATAATTATCTTACTCAGCTATAAAAGCTGCTGGACCCTGGGACATTCAATTACAACTAATTCCTTTTTTTCACCATGGCTGTTTTTTTTCAATCCCAGCAAAGTAAAGAGCGGTTTCCTGCTCCGCCATGATATGCAGATCCCGCTGGCAACCTGAAGCACTGTTGTAGAACATAAAGCCACTTTACCTGTCAACAGGGTGAAGTGTGTAGGACTGGTGATAGTGAGGTAAGGAGGTGTGACATACAGGGCTTTGACCCCATCCTCGGCCATTTTGTCCAGATGTGGCGTGTCCACGTTGCGGTCGTAATCCCACCGGAACCCATCGAAGGAGACCAGCAGCACCTTCTGTCCCCGCGCATTTGCCGGAGCTCCGAGGACGGATGAGGCCCAGAGGAGACAGAGACTGGTCCACAGCGCGGCATGCACTTCTCCCCACATCTTCACTGACTCTGCACCTCCAGCGAACACTCTCTCCTTTAAAGGACGATCCACCTTCTCGGCATCTTACCTGAGGAACGTGCAGCCAACTGCTTCCGAGCAAAGTTTCCTGTTGTTTCCTTGTTGTGTCTTATCTCGTAGATTGGACAGACTTTTCATTTATTTCTACAAGCGACCTGCTGGTGTTTATGAGCCAATTTTTACGACTGGGAGTTGTGTTCGTTTTGCTCTTGAGGACCGGCAGTAAAAGCAGATTAATCTCTCCGGGCATCGGGGCTGTTTGTCCCCGTCCCCCCCCCAACTCGCTTGTTGATGCTGTCTTTCTGTTTGTCTGCCCGCCCGTCTGTGTGCCGGAGTTTCCTGTGAATCACCCACAATGGAGGAATGACACTTTGATGGGTTTCACCTTGAGTTGGGATGGTGCATGATTGATCTGACACCGGGAAAATGAAGAGGAAAATGAGAGTATATATCTCTTCGTCAGCTAGCAGTGGTCTCTCGGGAAGAAAATACCTTAATAGACATATTCATTTTAATAACTCAAATGTGTGTATGAGCCCTGCAGGATATTGGTAAAAGATCTTATAAAATCAACATTGATTTTTTTCTTTTAGCAATTGCCGTGACAATGGACAAACTATTAAACAGTGATCTGCAGCTCTGATCTCACCCTCATCCAGACATTATATATCACTGCGTTGTGATGTAACCTTATCAACGTCCATCAAATTGCCAGACAAGCGAATTCTTCAAATTTGTTCTTTATTGCGTGTGTCCTTGGCAGAGGTTCAAGGGAATTGTCCAATCTTTATGGAGATAAGGGATAACATTCATCAGCTTTCATTTACCTCATTCATATTCATTAGCTTCCCCGTGTTAACTCTATCCGCTCGTCTCCACTGTCAGCAAGAATCGGAAGGAGTGTTGTTGGACTGCCGAGACCGGTGCACGGTCTCAGATCTGCGCTCTGAGAACTTTTATCAAACACACACACTCTGGACTTGAGGGGCAAGCAAACTTTCTCTGACCCTCTCAGTCCTGCACAGACTTTTCCACAGGGACTCTCACACTTTCTTGAAGAAGAGGTTTTTCTTCTTCTTTTTTTCTGCCTTTAGCACTCCCTGCTGCCCGTACACAACCACTGCAGCGCTCCCTCCCCAGACGGACAGACACAACTATTTCGTCAGTTTGAGCCAGAGTGCATTACTTATGCACAAATTTAAAAAGACATGCTATTTCCCAAGCTGAAGATGTCGTATTTTATCTTCTAGCAAACGTTTCTTTTAATCTAGAGTTCTGTTTAACTCTGATGACACAGTCAATATACGATTTGACATCCTTTGAACGATCAGTCTGAGGTATTAAAAACTTTTGAATCTGTCACTACAACCCAAACTACTGTTATTCAGCTCGCTGCTGATTCATTTATTTTAAAAGACATTTCTTATTGGACTTTTCAAAACAACAATCACGACAACGAATAGCAAAAACAAGTTGCCGTCATTTCTAAATGCAGTTTTTTAAATTTGAAACATTCGGAGTTTTAGTAAATCACATTTTCATGCCCATACTTTTTTTTCTGTCATATCAGACTTGCAGATGAAAGAGATGGTAAAACACATAAACACGGCTATCCTGTAAACTCTTAACTGCATCTGTATTCTGCTCACTCACAGTCTGAATGGCACGCCGCCTCTTTCCCCGCTGTGACTGGGAGTAGACCATCAAGTTCATGCCGGCATGCCGAGATCGATGTGTTTTGAATTGTGAGCAAACACAACTTTTAATGCATGAATGGCTTATTATCAGGTTACATGCCAGTGAGTCCAAGCGTAAAACTTCAAACCACAGGAAAACTCCACTAGAGGTGCTCGTACGGCTCTCAGTGAACAACAGATTCACAGGCTGTTAAACGTCCAACAGAGTTAATTGCCGTCACGCATTGTCGTTTTATCCATTTTGGTTGCAAGCAATGAAAGAGCTTAAACAAGGCTGAATGTACAATATTGATCATAATATTGATCTTGTAACCTGAAAACACACACATTTCAATTGTTTTCACTTTGTGCCAAAACACTAACTTTTGCATACAACTGTAAGCAGCTGAATTATTGTAATTATAAAACCATTTTCCTTTAGCCGCTGACACGTTTAGAGAAAACACGTCAACCCAGTTAATGTTTTATTCCTCAGAAACATTTTTACACTGTTTGAGATTTTTTCAATTTTTTGTCTACATTTTGGTAATTTTCATTATCTCTTTTTACACTGATTAACTTGTCAATCAGGGTCAATAAGTTAACACTGACTCTTAGTACTTTACTTTAGACAACTTAAGCACATTTGATAATTCTTCACTTCTACTTCTACTAGTAAGCATTTCTGTGTGTTTCTCCCACAGTACTATTGGTGCGTTAACTTAATGCGTCTATAATCCATATTTTCACAGAAACAATCTATTGAATTTTAAGTAAACTTTTGAAATATCTTAAAAAAAAAAACCTGAAGCGAGTTTAAATATGTTTTTGAGGAAGTTTTATCAAATGTTGCTGCTTTCAATTCTCTTTCCTAAGCCGATACTTCAAAATGCACATAAATGTATGTATA